AGCAATAAGCCCTTGCAATAAGTTGAATTTACCTTTTTGTTCAACAATTTGATAGAAAGGTAATATAATATGAACGTAGCTTATCTGTTTGATTAGATGAATTATATTGTAATTGCTTTTGTCGAACCAATTTAAAGTTAAACCTTGCATTACAGTGTTGAACTATATTATCTGTTATGAAATTACGAATTATGTGTTAATATTGTATTCGCAAAGCGATGTTGCTTTATATCATTAGCTAGTTTTGCCCTCTAAAGCTACTGGTACATTGTGCGACATAAAAAATCGAACACCATACGAATTTTAATTTGAATTTCGCATTACTTTTCTCTAATAATCAAACTACTAACTTACATCACAGTTACATCACACTTTACATTCACTCATTGGAATAAGCATTAACAACCTATTTCTAAATATACAATTCTTTCCGAAAATCCACCGAATGTCATGAAAAACAAAACGAACACACAAAAGTTTAATATCACGTTTCATTTTCTACTCACAATTAAAATCACTAACTAAAAACACTTCGCTTATCCTTCTACCAAGCTTTACTTCACATTTTCTAAACTTCATAACATTAAAAATATTTCATTGCATTCATCATTCACCAAAAACAAAAAATTAAATTTCTCAACATTTCAAAGTCGAAAAGAAAATGTTCCAAGTTTCGAGCTTGCATTCCCACAAACGTCAACCAAAGTACAAAACAAGAAACCAACAGAGAGGAAAACTGTGGTAAAACAGCGAAGAGGAGAGAGGAACGGAACAAAGGTTGGAAAAGGTCGGCGTGCACGATGGGAAGGGGTGATTGGCAATGAGTCAGGTACGGTTCGTGTGAGAAAGTGTGGATTACGTGGTCGCAACGAACCGTCCATCATCGACACACCATGGACCATTGCAGCCCCTTCCAGCCGCGGCGGCAGCCCCCTCTGATCACGTCCACCTTCTCTCAGCGTCGCGATATATCGACGCCGGCAGTATCATGCACGAAACCGGCTGGTAGACGTTGCCTCGACGGAACAGCGTCGCGATGCACCGCCTCTTCGGACGCAAACGCGTCTCGTTCGGCGTACGTTGCACGTATACACGACACACGCGACGCTCGGTACTCGTTGTTTGCCCCCCTGGTGGATAGAGTTGGTTCACGTCGAGCATGATTCAGGATTGGTGAACCTCTGACCGATTATCCAGAGGTTTTTCTTCTTTTCTTTTGTTCCATCGTTTTTTCTTCTTTTTTTTTTTTGTCAGTTTTGCCTGTTTCGGGGATTCGTAGTTTTTTTTCTTTATTTGTGTATTTTTTAATTTTCGTCGCATCTGTAAAGATAAGTTGTCTGTGAAGTAATTATAAGGTATTGAAGAGTGTCATTGTTTTGTTTTTCTCACGTTTGTCTGTGATTTAGAAATGTATGATTTAGAATTGTTTTGTTTTTTTGTTCCTGGTGTATTTTATATTTGGTTCTTCTTTTTTTTTTTAATTATTGCGAGGTGATAAGTTGGACATTGTGCGAAGTTGATGGAAGTTTATAGGAACTGCAGTGATTTGGGTCTTGATGTTATTCGTGTGCATATTTTATGTAGATAAGAGCTATTTTTTGTTTTGGTTTGTTAAGTAACTGGAATTCATAAATCCTGGGAGTCTCTGTCGAAGAGAAGATCCCGAGGGTGACCGTTATCATCTGTTTCAAAAAATGGACCACTCGTGGTTGTACATAGATCGTGGTCGCAAGTCACATTTCATAATCAAGATCGAAAACATTAATCTCCTTATTAATTTTGTTAATTCATAAAACTGATAGCATTATTATTGAATCATTCTAATACTGTCTTTGAAAAACGTATATTATTTGCACACTGTAGACGTTCTCGTTAATTCATTGACATTATTTCGAAAAGAATAATACAAATCTCGCAAATGTAGTAATAATCTAAATTCTTCTAAAATGATATATTCATTAGACAATGTAGATAACTAAATGTAAATCCTCCTTCAAACTTCCTAATCCTCTTTAAGTAGATCCGTAGATAGATGCGTAACGATGTATATCTACATCTATATCCACAAACAAAGTCTACACATAAATCCACAATCAAACTTAAAGATATGTTTGCAGATAAATTCCTAGGTAGATTAGCAAAATTACAACAAATTCGAATATAAATTCACAATGAAAATTGACGAAGACAAATTTACACGTAAATTTAAGTCTAATTTCGCAAATTCACAATTCCACAGATAGACCTACAGATCCGTAATCAAATTCACAAATAGATCCAACATAAACTCGCACAGGAGTAATTCACACATAACTCCATACATAAACTCATCCATAAACCTACACCTACGTCCGTAAATAAGAGATGCAACACAGACTTATACAAGAACTTGAATCCACAAATAAATTCATCTACAGATCCAAAAGTAACGATGTGAACCTACATATAAATTCACAACTAATCAGCAAATAATCAAACTTACACATAAATCCACAATCAGTACCGCATATACATTCACAATTAAGTCGACACACACGTATCACAACAAATCTCATGTTTATCATCATCAAAATAACCCATCAGTCAAACTCACATTCAATCTTACACACGAATGCATAAATGAAACCACATCCCCAATCAATTTCATACACCCAACTACCATAATAAATCCCACATTAATTATCTCCAATATAAACCACCAATCAAACTCAAGCTCGCAAAAACCTACACAACTAAAACCACACACCATCAATTTCGTACACGCAAATTCCACTCTAATTGTTTTCAAATAAATCACCAGACAAACGCCACACAGATCCACGATCAACTTTGTACACGCAAATTCCACGTTAATTGGCTCCATATGAACCACCAATGACATTCACACCATCAATTTCGTACACGCAAATTCCACTCTAATTGTTTTCAAATAAATCACCAGACAAACGCTACACAGATCCACGATCAACTTTGTACACGCAAATTCCACGTTAATTGGCTCCATATGAACCACCAATGACATTCACATATAAGTACATAACCGAAACCGTACACATGTCCAGGACCAACTTCATACACTCCAATACTACAACAAATCGCACATCAATTGTCACCAATCATCTTCACACGCAACAACCTTGGTCAAACCTATAAACAGACTCACGGAACAATTCACACACAAATCCTAACTGTAGATCCACGAATAATCCCACGCATAGATCACTAGCGAAACTCACACGCGAATCCACAGTAATCCCATAAGCAGAGCCAACCCTAAATCACGAAACAGTGGCTGGTCACACGCATTTCCAAACCCAGCCACATCGATTCTTCGCCCTCAAGAAGACAACTGTCCAGCACACAAGCATCCGTTTGTTATTTCGCGGATCCTTGAGCCCAGTCAGTGGAATGCGCGGCGAGTCTCGTGCGAGGCCGAAATCTAATAACACGCATTAATCACATTCCGTGGTGGCGGCGTGACGCTGTGGGGCTCGCTGCTATCGTCGATCGCGATCGACAGCGGCGCGTGTACGCCGCTAAATCACCGCGCTCGCGTTCAACAACTGGCAACAATTCAAGACGCCACAGCGTCGAATATTCCTCGGGCAATACAGTCCGGAAGCTATATTTAAAATAGTACCTGACCAGTGTTGATTCATTTTCTTCTTCTGTTTTTAAATCGAATCGACTCGTGTCATTCAGCGAGTCCTTAATAGCATTCACGACGCCACCAGAACGTTTTGTGTAACTGTCTACGATTGTAAATAGGGGTTTTTTTCTCAAATTTGTAGAGGCGATTCCTTCTTTCTTTTCATCCTCTTTCCTCCTCTCTCGGTTGGAATTGCGTCGTCACGACGCAAATGCATTCTTTAGAGCTTTCATGGCGCCACTGGAACCCTTCATCTAGCTGTCTACGATTATAGACAAGGTTTTTGGCTTCGTTTTACTTTTTATTTTATGAAATTTGTCGAGTCAATTCTGTTTTCCTTTTTTTCTTCTTCTTTCCAGTGGATTTTTGTTCGACTCATGTCATGAAAGGGTTAACTTGTCGTTCGATCGATCGGTATTTAAAAGATAATGTTTCGTTAATTGAAACAGTCCTCGTTTTTAATTGTATCGTTGTATTTACATCAAACGTGAAATACATAAGACTTGCATTTACAAGAAGCAAAACGTCATTTTTTAATTACACGTTGAAGAGATTCAATTTCTGATTGAAGAATGAACCCAGTTGTTAGATTAATATATGTTTTCATTTTTGTGAAATTCGTTAAATCGATTCCTTTTCTTCTTTGTATCATTTCTTCTTCTTTCAGTTACAATTGCGTCGTCATGACGTCCAGCAGGTCCTTCATAGCGTTCGCAACACTATTCAAATCTTCCACCTATCTACAATCGTTATTATTTTGTTATATTCTACTGTCAATTTTGTCAAATTTATAAAGTCAATACTTCCTTTCTCCTTTCGCTTCGATTTATTTTATCTATCTATAACTGTAGATAGATAAAGTTCTTTTTCTCTCGTTTTCATTTTTAATTTATGAAATGTTTAGAGTCAATTCCTCCTTTCCCTTTCCCGTTTTCTCTTCTTTCGATTAGAATTGAGTCGTCGTAACGTCAACAAGTCCCTCATAGCCTAACCTCTTATCTAGATATCTACGATCGCAAATAGGATTTTTTAGAATAGAATTTCTTTCGATTAGAATCGCGTCAACGCGACGTCCAGCGAATCCTTCGGTGTTCACAATACCAATTCTATCTCCGGTCGTAGATAAAGTTTCTTCCCAACGATTATTTCGTTTCGTAAAGTTTGTAAAATCAATCCCTCCTTCCTTCTTTCGATTCGATTCGTCCAGTGAGTCCTTCACAGCGTTCACAATGCCACCAGAACATTTTATATCTATCTATCTCTCTATCAACGATCGTAGATAGTATTTCTCTTACTGGTTGTTGCATTTATTTTTTTTTTCTTTGGATTTTTTGTTTTGTAAAATTTGTAGAACAACGAGCACGGCGGGGACGGAGAGGAGGGTGGCAGATCAGGAAGAAGACAGAGCGTCAGGAGTCGATTGCCAGGAACACCGACGGCATCCTTTCGACAGAAGCCATCGCCAATCTCGCCTGTCAGGTCCAGCACACCGGATGTGACACAGGTGGGTCGTTTCCTTTCGTGCTCGTGCGTCAATCGACCAACGACGCGATATAAACCCCTCCTCTTTCTTCGACTTCGCTATTTTTGAGATATAGCGGAGTGAATGGCATAGGTTTGATATTGGACAGTGGCGTTTTGGGTTTAGCTTTGTGTATTTGAAGAGTGAAATTGAATTGGTGAAATCAGAAGCACGTGAAACATTTTTTCTCTTTTTAATTGAGTTATATAGTGAATTATGTTGTTCACATTTAAATATGATACATGAAATCATAATAGGGGTAGTGATGTACACTGCTGTTCATAAGTATTAGAACAGCTATTATATTCGTAGGGAAGATATACGACTTAAATTACATTTCTTCGTTAAAATTAGTGTCATATCGTCAGCTTTGTACTACAACTAGACATCTTAAACTCGTTAGTGGAACAACTGAGTTCATTGCACTTTTAATATTTCCAAATACTTATTGCTAGAGTTGTCTGCTTTTAGTGTAGCACAGTTGCAAGGCCAATACGATTTCTGACATACTTATTCATAAAATGTCAATTTACGAAATTTAGGGAAGAAAGTGCAACGAGAAGAAGCAAAATTTAATTATTGCCTTTTTTTGCAACTTATAAATGGACTTATGGATGGAGAATTAATTATATGTTGTATTAAGGTGACGACGTATCACTGGAAATATGTGTTCCTTATACTACGAGATTCCAAATTGAAATAATGTTTTGAATCTCGATAATTTTGTAATGATTGTTTAAATTTAAATCACATTCAATAAGTGTCCTAATACTTGTAAATGGGAGTATACAGGGTGAAAGCAGAAACAACATAAGTGACTTAGCCCTTTTACTTCCACTATATCCATATGACTACGTTTTCATTTTTGTAATAGCAATGTTTTCTACGTCGTCTTTGTTAAGCACTCGGATACTAATTTCCGCGTACTAGGTGCCGTTTGAAGTCTGAATATATTGCGTTCAGAGTCTGACTGAATCTTTAAGATTCCTAATGTAACTGATGGTCTGTGTACTAACACTCTGTGGTCTTAAGCAAAGTCGGCCTTCTTATCGAGTCGTCCCTTCTCCAAATCTTCTAAAATTTGAAGAAGGGGACAACAAGGGGGGAAAACCCGGCCAGGTCAACTCTGACTCTCCGACTCGTTCGGAAGGTCAGGTACCGAGAGGCCTCGGTAATTGCATCGGTTTCGAAGACCCTTTGGGGGTGACTTTATGATACCTTGCCTTACTGACTGAACAGTAGCCTATTCTTTAATATTTGAGAAATTCTAGGTGCCGCATGTTGGCTGCAGATCGGTCTGCTAAATTAAAAATAACCGTTTGCTGAACTAGCAGGCTGCAGACCGGTCTGCTAAATTAAAAATAACGGTTTGCTGAACTAGAAATCACGTATCATACAATCGTCCCCTTGCTGTCCTAACAGTCTTCTTATTAGATATTTGAAATGGAAGTTAACTAAATGTATTGCATTTAGAAAGGAATATCATATCTATATTCTGCAGTTTATGCGGAAAGTTTAGTTACATCTAAAGTCTCAGGTCACTGCATTGTGTTTTTGTTATTACCAAATGTTGCCAAATGAAAAATGTGCGTAACTTATGATAAAAGTCGTTAGAAGTTTTCCAAGCGTCAACATGTTTTACTAATTGCTTATTTGTCATATACATGCGCAAAGTACGAATAAATGTTTTGTGCAGCTATTAAATAATTTAGGAATGAAAGGGTTATGATCTGCATTGTGTTTTTGTTATTACCAAATGTTGCCAAATGAAAAATGTTCGTAACTTATGATAAAAGTCGTTAGAAGTTTTCCAAGCGTCAACATGTTTTACGAATTGCTTATTTGTCATATACATGCGCAAAGTACGAATAAATGTTTTGTGCAGCTATTAAATAATTTAGGAACGAAAGGGTTGTGACTATTAAGTAGGTTGATTTATGACGATTTCCCAGTTTGAGACGATATCTTTACGTGTGATTTTGCAAATTTGCATTAAAGGAAGTCATACTGAACAAGTTTTCTTGTACTTATTTTAGGTGATTCGTATCATTTAGTGTAAAAACAACATAAACCATAAAGGTTTAAATGGAAATATCATGAATTGTTAAAGAAAATTATATTTTCTTTTATTAAAACGTAAAAAATAGCTTTCCTTGTTTCTTAAAAGTTCGGAGTGATTTATGCTGTTACTGAACTCACCGATTCAATTGGAAGTCCTTTATGTTTCATTTTATTTTGAATGGAAACGGGGTTTAGAGGGATGATTTTAATAAAATTAACAGTGATTTCATCAATTATGTTCGTGGGTGATATTACGTGAAATTTTCAGCTCGTAATATTTTTGTATTTAACTGGGTAGTTCTTTCTGTAATTGGTAATTAATAATGCTTCAAAATAGACGGTAACTATGAATCACGTTATCACTGTTACATTAGAATATTCGTGTTAAGTTTTTGTCCAGATTATACTCCCCTTTGTTTTACCATTTATTTGATAATTGGATCCAAAGAGACCAAGAATTATTTCCATCTAATTATAAAGAAATGGTATTGAAAATTTAATCAAGATTATGTTTCATTGGGAGACATTCATACAAATTGAACATACTTCAATTTTTTTAGTTTTAACTTATCATAACTAAAACTAAATGAAAGTCAAATTGCAACGAATTTTTCTTTTAGTTTCTTTCGTAACTGAGCGCTATTTCTCAGTCAAGAGTTAATTTTAACCCTTTGAGCGGTACGAATGCATATATGCATCTAATAAATCTCATCAGCATAGACCATGAGCTTGTAGATACGTATAATATATTTCTTCAATGAAACGACGACCATGGGAATCATAAATGTGTTTAAAATATTTTATCTGTTTCGCCTACTTTTACACAAGAAAGTGTCAAACGATTTTTATATAGAAAATTTTCCAGCTGTAAAATTTTCCGCATATAAAGTTTTAATACTTTAATATTTACTATAACTTTATTGTTACGAAATTCAATATATGCAATGTATTTTTGCTAAAAAAAAAAAAAAAACTCCCAATATCTCATATTACGTAAGACTAACCCTGAAACAACCCTAAAAGTTGCCTTAACGATTAAAATAAACTACCATCCCTACACCAGAAATAAAAAAGAGAAAAATCTATTCCAACTAATGAAATGGTATTTTGTAGTGATAAAATTTAACACATTCGATGCAATTTGATTAAAACAAAAATTAAAGCATCTCCTACCCAGAAAGTTCAATTAATAATTATTACCTTACGTTTCTTTAATCATAATTGAACCGAATTTCACGACAACGAAATTTACCAAAATTTGATCAAGAACCCGAATTTCACGATAACAAAATTCGAGAGTAAATATTAATCAAGAATCATCTTAGTGTAAGGGCTTTTAATCTTAACAATATTTCGTCGTCGTCGCTGACTCCTCGTCCTTATCAACTACGCGGTTCAATCTCGTTCTCTTACAATTCTTACGATTCTCACCATTTCTCTCCTCAGTGCTCTTAACGCGTCCTTATATGCGGGCCTTGACGCCCCTCTCTTCGGGAAACCTTGGTGCAAGTTGGGAGTTTCTACCCGGCAAGGACCGCGTCGCGTGAGCACGTGGCTGGGTCCTTACCTGACCCAGCCCTTAGCGCGTGGGGGTCAAGCGTTGGGACCGGGTTTTTCCGCAGACCGAGAGGTCTTACATTAGCAGAACCAAAAAAAAAAAAGTCATCATCCCTTCACCACAATTAAAATGGAGAAAAAGTCAAAATGAACTTAAAATCCATTCCATCTATGTACAGTAAATTCACCACAAGTGTCAGACAGTTTGGATTCTACAAGTGTCAGTATTGATGGTCCTACGCCTACGTTATCTCGCTCGCTGTCAGTCAAGCGTGTAACACTACACCACTCGGTTTCTTTTACGAGATTTCACGGCTGGACAATTCATAATAGAAAAATATAATTTCTTTAATTTTACTTTTTTTTCATCTGAAATTTTTTTTAACATGTTGCTGAGATTTTTCTGATGAAAATGAGATCAAACACGATATAATTTGAACAACATTTACTTATTAACACGTTCACTGTCTGGCGTGACATTAAAAAACGTAAAATTAAAAAAGTTGGTATTTAAATCGCTTGTTTGCCTCACTCACGTTTCATCCTTATCTTTTATTCGCTGTCCTTGTCTACGTTCGGCAAACTACAAAGGCGAGCGCGAGGCTCGAAAACGTAGTCCCTGACTCTACAAGTGTCAGGTTTAGCTTCCTTGCGTTCTGACACTTGTGGAGAATTTACTGTATTATGTCATCCTACAGATCCCTGCGGTTTTAAGCTGTTCATTAAAAAAATATATAACTCCATTGAAATGAAACATTTCGATTTCAAATAATTTCCATAATGTTTTTGCACCTTTGCCAACGTATGAAAGGTGTTTTCAATATCCTCCTGTTTCTCAAATGGTTTTTGCGTAAGGAAAGTGTCAAGTGAGCGGAAAAAGTGAAGATCGATTGGAGATAAATCAGGGGAAAATGAGGGATGAGGTAGACGTTGATGCAATTTTTGTACAGTTCTGCTTGCTACGTACGGTGGTCGCGCGAAAGGATAGGGCCTTTTCTGTTTAGTGGATGACCTCCAATTCGTTACTTTATGATTCTACTGTGACAGTGGTACCCGGTCTTAGGAAACAATAGTGAATTAATTCCGAAGTAGACCACCAAACTGTGACCATGATTTTTTTCAACGTGTAAACTAAATAGGTATGGATCGGGGAGATTTATTTATGTTTTTCTTTCTCTCAGAGTGTATCGAACATTATGGAATTTATTTGAAATAAAAATGTTTAATTTTAACGGAGTTATGTTTTTCCAAAATAAGCGACGTAAAATTGCGCGAACTCTCAGGATGACCTAATAATTAAATCGTTAGTGATAATCAGCTAATGGGCGTTTCGGTTTGAGTCGTGGATTAAGTAAAAGGTGTGGAGAAGAGCCGGGCCTTGAAAACGTGGGAAAAAAGCGCCCGAAGCAACGGGCACGTTCGATTGTGCCCGATGTAAATTAATTCGGTCAACGGCAATCGATTGTGTTATGACTTGGAGGGCGAACGAGGGAGGATCCTCCCGTCCTCAGTCTATTTCGCGATGCGTCCCGTTTGAAATGTTACGATCAAGCGCGCGCGCGCGTTCACAACGCCTTCACGCGGGCGCGAGCGACCAATTTTAGACAATCTCTCACTTTCCCGACGTTGTTTGATCGTTTCTCGGAATTAATATACGCACCTAAACGTATTCTAGCCTGTGATTTCGCTGATGGAACACTGTTTATAATCGATCCCGATGATAGTGAATTCTAAGTTTGTTCAGGTTGCTGGCCACAACGCTGTCGCTTGTCGATTATTATACCTCGACAGATTTCCTCGTGAACAGGTTGAAATTTTCTCGATGTTTTGTGTTTCAATAGTTACGTTCGTTAGAGTGCTTAACATTCGTAAAAGTTTTGGTAATCTTTGAAAGTTCTCTTGTTTTCGATTCTTCACTTTGAAGCGTACAGACCCGTGCATAAGATTACAAACATAAACAGTCGTTACGGAGTTATTAGGTTCGTCTAAAGAATTATTCAGTCTGGAATCTTGTAGTGTAACGAGTACATATATGATTTTCGGGTTTCTAATTAATTGTTGAGAACATTTCTCAAGATCTGGTAATAATTATTAATTGAACTTCCGTTTATGAGTATTATGACGTATACTGAATGTGAAGCAAAGCTAAACAATCATTACAAAATTATTAAGATCCTACATAAAATTATTCAATCTGGAATCTCGTAGTATAATATATTTTTACTGATACATGATTTACATATATCGTATAATAATTGGCGTCCTAGTACATATAAACAGCAGTGTATGGATTTTTGGTTCATTGGTAGAGACTGTAATTTTACCTGTTCACCTATTTTTCAGAGATTCTAAAAAACTGACATATTAATTTTTATCGCTTATGAAAAAAACGTGTAATTAGTATCGAAGGTCAAATATCGTATATGATAATTAAAACGTTCAGTGTAGTATAACATTTATAGAAATGTTTTTCGATGAAAAATAATTTCTGCTTCATTTATGTATAACGTCTAATATCAAACAATCGTACACAACAGATCGTGAAATAAACAAATTAATATTTCCATTAAAATCGACACAATTTCTATCTCATTTTTATAGGGAGGTCTCGAAGACGGAGACAGGCAAAGTAGTTCAAGATCAGATTTCAGGCGGCAAAGTACACGAGCTTCAGATGGCGCGGGATCCAGCGTGCGAAGGTAATTCTACGATCTGATTTCAATCATTTTTCTAGTAACACCGTAATTTTTAATTACCGATTTACTTTTATAAATAATTCCTTACAAATTTAACAAACTACTTCGTCATTTCTATTCATTTGAAAATTGCATATCTTCATTCAGCTTTGAAGATTATTTATTTAGATCACTTTTAATTCTCAATTTCTTAGAAAAACTTGTACCAGTTTCACACGTTCGCTTCCATCGTTCTGTTCAAGCACCGTCTGCTTATCCTTCGTGTTATTTTCCCTCACATTTTTAATATCTATGTATTTATCAATTTTACATGATACAATGCATTATTACACGTATTAAATTCGCAAACTATACATTTTGTATAATGCGTGTATTAACAGCGATCTATCATAAGAATTGGCGCGTCATACATAATGTACAGGCTTGGCCAAAAGTATTAGGCACCCCATATAACACGAATTGCATCAAAATATTTTCGTAGTAGTAGAAACTGCTGAATTAAAAAAAAATAATTTTTTATTAATTTACTAAATTAATTTTGACCTGCAGAACGCCAAAATTTGCCAATCACGTCAATTTCTTTTCTAACTTTTACCCTGTATTTTAACGAAAATGTCACTTACTTTACTCTTTCTTGGCATATTTCGAGGAAAACTTTCGAACTTTCACAATATTAACAGCAAAACTAAAGCTAAGCTGACGTGTGTTAGTTGAGAGTACTAACAGCAACTGTGATTTTTAGGAAGAAACGCAGAATATAGACTATGAATCGCTCAGTTGTTTTACGGCACACTGTAAACCTTGTTACCTGTTTTCAAATTCCTTTAAACTGGCCGACAAAGGATGATGAATAATAGAAAGGTTTCACAGAAATAGTTTTTACAGCACGTTGTAATAATAAAGGTGCCTGACACCTTTGTCCACGGCTGTATGTGACTGTCCTAGTGAACGTGTTAATTAACACGGAAAAAAAAACACAGAAAATTGTTGTTACCACACCTGATTCAACTTCATTTCTCGTTTAATTTAATTTTTCTTCTCTTCTCGTTCGTGACTATCGATAGTTCACCTACTCTTTGTAGAAATTCTATATTATCTATTTTATATCCTGTAAACGTTAATATCTTCTATTCTGTATTAACTGTATCAAATAAATATAGTAATTAATACAATATAACAATATCACTTTATTATTATTATTGTTGAGGATAACAGTGCCTCTCCACAGTGTGGTTGTATAACACGTGATAATAAGTTCAATAGCAATATATTTTATAACAACAATTTCATAATAACTATAAACACTCGTAAAAAGGAATAATGAAAATCTGATCAACGGTCTCTTATTATATCTCGCAATAAATTCTCACGTACTCTCTGATATCAATAACAACGCGGTTCTACTGTTTTACTCCCTGTTTCTCTGTATGATCCGCTCGTTTTCCAAATCTCGAGACGATTCGACAAACACACTACATTCACGCCATCACTCACAACATATTATTAAACCAATTCCACACACAGTACCGACTGCTCAGGGGCAGTAGAGATGGTAGAAAGAACTTTGAGCACAAGCGTAGAATGTATTCAATTTGGCGGTAATCAAGATACGAGTGTATAAACGTGCTGTTGTATATTTTCTTTTATAATAAACCTTAATATATAAAATTCATTATCGAATCACTTTCCGATCACAGCGGAATATCCATCCTATCAGTTATATTGTTATATTTATTTAATACAGTTAATACAGAATAGAAGATATTAAAATTTACGGAATATAGAATTTTTGTTATTTATATATTTATATACAAACTTTTACCCCTTATCATTTCACGAATAAAAAACAACAGAATCGAAAAGAGAGAGAAAAATATAGATAGAGTGGTTGTTTAATTAAACTGCTAGATCCTCCATGAAAAAGTCCGTTCGTAAGAAGGCGCCATCACCGCCTTCCAATCCGGGCATATTGCGAGAGGTGAGCGAGGAGAAGGAGGATAATGCCTCGAAACCGGAAGAGCCTCCAAGACGGAAGTATTCCTCGGATGAGAGCTCTGAAGAGGACACGCGTGATCTGGAGGGTAACGTTTACACGAAAGCTGGCATGGAGGTAATTTAAACTTCATACCTTTTTCAATATTAGGTTGGTACATATGAAATTACCGTTTCGCGTAAGGAAATCTGAATGAAAATATTTTTTCCTATTTAACTATTTTATTCAAGCAAAATAATTCGACAGACTTGAAGTTTCTGTCAAATTTCTCGAATCGTTTGGTGAACATCTTTCACCAACTGTCGTAAAACTTTGGGATCTAATAAGCGATTTAGCCGACCGCGTTCTTCGTTTTGAAAATTTTCTACGCGAGAACGAAAGCTTTCGAACCAATTTCCGATTGTCCTTTCATCGATTTCGTCTTTCTACTTCATCTGCACTAACTTGACCTTTGAACTCGTGAAACATAACTGTCCCAATCTGCTGCGAATCCATCGTTTCAAAAATGCACAACTACCGCAACACAAATTTTTTCCAAATTCTCCGATTTCTTCGTGAAGACTGGAGAATGATTGTCCTTTGTTATTTTTGCAAGACAACGTTAGCAATTGTTATTGCATCCCCATTCGCGATCTGCAATTTCATACGCACCAATTATTAACAAGATTTCCTTAATGAAGAATTCTTTAATGAAATTTTAATTCGTCAAAATCAAATGTGTTTCAATTGATAAATATTCTTTTTCATTTGTAAATTAATTTCTTCCTCAGATCTCAAGAAAAAGCGCAGGAAATGTGAAACGCAGCAAAGCGGAGATCGAAGCGGATCCAGAACAAGAGGACGAGTTTGGTTACACGAAAAGTAAGTGCTTTTTATATTAATATTTCCCTATTTCCTTCTATTTATTTATTTTCTTTTCTGGTGTTAAATAGATAAACGATAATGTTGCTTTTAAATCGCAGTGAAAGTCCAGAAGAAGTATCAGGCGCTGGGACACAAAGTCTTGATGGTGAAGTTGGAGAAGGATAGGCGTGGTTTGGGCATTTCATTAGCTGGACACAGGGATCGAAATCGAATGGCAGTGTTCGTTTGTGGCCTTAATCCAAAGGGTGCAGCTCACAAAACTGGCGAGCTTGTGGTTGGTGACGAAATACTCGAGGTGCGTTCTTTTAATCTTCTTAATTTCACGCTTATTTCCATTATGAACTAAAACTCGAAGAATAAACGTAGTATAGCGTTAAATTACAAACTTTTATCATTTATATTGGTTAGTCGAAATCAAAACGTTTAAAAATTAATATTTTTTCAATCATATTAAATCCTGAAGAATCTCAAAATCTTTCGATTGCTACCTTCGACTTTAACAACCAGCAACTTTTAAAATTACAACAATTGAAATTTAAAAAAGAATTGTTACTTTTAGTTTCTGCCATTAATTGTTGATATTTTGCTGTAAACAATAGTCTGAATCGAAAAATTCCCCAAAATATCTTTTTGTCATTGCCGCGTTTTTCAACTATCCAATTAACGTAAAATTACTATCATTACGAACATGTTCTATAAATTGTACGATTTTTAATAAACGTACATGTAAGCTGAATGTAGATAATATAAAGCAAATCTTATTGAGAAAAACAAAAATACCCGTACGTTTCAATATTAAAAGAGAAAATTTAATTTTGAGAAGTAATATAAGGGAAACTGCAGTGTACTTTAAAGATACTCTCCATTTTGGTGCAAAACGTTTGCCCAAATATTTTGATTAGACGAGTGTCAATAAAATTTCTAGGCCTGAGATCACTTGGCATTGAATTTTAGTAGTGCAACGAGTGTTACTTCAAGGAATTTCCGACTGTCACCATTTGTGTATACAAACAGAAGCGCGTTGCAAAGTGATAAATCGCGGGAAGACACGTTGATTAAATTTTAGTCGAGCACATGTGTACTTGGCAAACGTTCAAACCCGATTATCTCAAAAACGAAGCCTCGAAGCCTACTTTTGCACGATGAATCACCTTCTCCATGATTGTACCACAAGTTTTACCTTGATTCGTACAATTTTTACATGTTTACCTGAACGAAAAGAATTTTTGTCCACTATCGTATTTCGATTGATATTTTCAGGTAAACGGCTGTGTTTTGCAAGGACGATGCCATTTGAACGCATCTGCAAAGATCAAAGGAATGGCTGGCACCTGCTTCAAAATTATTGTTTTACGGTAATATACATACATTGCTTATCTTTTTTTACATTTGTGTGTTTCTTGTGCAGAAAGAATGAATTAGAACGTAATTTTTTTATTCACAGGAGAACTGCCGCTCTTAATGACATCGCTGTGAAGCCAATCGCTCAGTTTCCTCCAACATTGGAAGATGTGAGTCCACGTTTAAAAATCTTTTCAATTAAACATTTAACATTTACAGAATTTTCGTAAACATTTCCGAAGATTTACTTCAACACCATTTTCACAGTAATTGTTTCCTGTACTTATGAAGTTTTCACTTCAAGCATACACACAAAATGCATATTAAGATATAGTATAGGAAACTTCGTGAAGAAGGCTCCGAACTTTGCTAGAAATTTCCTCAATGAAAGGCAAACAATTTTTCGTGCGATCTTCATAGCAAATATCCTACACATTTTTCCTTCTTTTCAATTTTCAAAGTTAACTAATTTAGAGACCCCGGTATTGATAAGCTTTACTGTTTTCAAGTTTCTTCCCCAGAAGCACGAGGTTCGATTCAAAAATACCCGGACTGTGCGTGTAGCTCGATATCTCGTAAAAGAAAAGGAAAGCTGATAATACGATATGACATGGTTACCACTAGCAATTTAACTAATATTGAATTTATATGAAAACGTAATTTCATTCGAGATACAGTGGTTTTTTTTTATTCAATTTTCTTTACCCCGTCATTATTTACCCCCTTGCCTTATAAGAACGAATGAGACTCGTGGAATAAATTCTGATCAAGATGCGAGGAAAACAGGTATATTAGTAACATAGATTAATTTTAATTCTAACTTTAGTTTATAATATATAATACACTAGCTTCTCTTACCTGACAGTATTAGTCATAGATATAACCACGACGAAAAATTAGGGTGTTACTTAATAATAATAATTTAAGTAATTTAAATCGTTAATTAATTAGTTGTCAATTATGGACAAGCTTTACAATAACGACCACTATTCCACTACCTTACACGTAACTCAACACTTCATTTGGACTAAATTTCCAGATTTACCAAACACAATCCACTATTTATTCCCTTTCTGTTGCAGTCTGACATGTTCAGCCAGTACAAAGGAGTGCGTAACATACCGGTGAAAAAGGCAAGTTTAACCGAATAGCAGAGGATACGATTGCAGCGTTACGATTACTACACGTAGGTTTTCAATGTGTAGGGTCAGTACGGATTGGGCATAATGATCATCGAGGGAAAACACGCGGAGGTCGGCCAAGGTATTTTCATCTCGGACATTCAAGAAGGTAGCGCTGCAGAACAGGTAATTGCCTTTCTGTTTCTTCCTTTTTCTTTCCAAACAATCGTTCGTATACGTTGCACGAATGCTAACTATCAAGCATCATCATAACGTGCCTATTCACGTTATTGGGTTACGGTACAGGTGTTATTTGCGTTTTCGTTGCAGGCTGGCCTGCAAGTGGGTGACATGATCCTCGCTGTCAACATGGACTGTCTGCTGGGCTCGACATACGACGAGGTAACGAATGCAGCGAATAATGAATTGGAGTGAGGTCGATAATTGGCTCTTATTGTCTTGCAGAAGTATTCTCTCTTTGCAAATTACTATTCATGTATTCTCTTAGTACTTTGTTGCGAAATTGAAGTCATTGCGAAATTGAATTCACACAGAAAAACTATGTCTGTTTCTTTATAAATTATTGTTTATACATTCTTTTAGTACTTTTTCTACTAAAATTAAATTCGACAAGTCTATGCTTGCAGTGTCAAAATTTCCTGTTCTCTTAATGTTGACGTAAAAAATTGTTACACTACCGACCAAAAGTTGCGGGATTACTTACCAATTTACACCAATATTAAATATACTACCAATTTTTTATCGATTCGAAGATTAATAGCAACTTATTTCGTTTCGGTAGATTTGGTTAATATTTTTCTTAAAATATTCATCTAATTTACAATGCACAGTAGCTGCGAAGTTTTAGCTGTCGGTACATGTTGGAATATAAATTTGTGGAGATTATTCAGGGGTTACTCAGAATTACGATTTTTCATTCCAAGGCAACCAGTCTTTTGAAAAAAGCGGAAGGTGTGGTGACACTTACGGTGTGCAATCCAAATCAAAGTAAAGTTGCGAAGGAAGAAGAGGATAGGGCAAAAGGCATCATTCCTGAACCGGAACCAGGTAATTAATGTCCTAGATTTTTCTGAGAAACCTTTATCAATATGTTCCACGGATATAAATAAGAAAAAGATGTTATATATATATTTATTTATTCAGCCTCACAGCCATGAATTTGACTTGGTTTACAATAACCTACGTTTTATCTTATTCACTCTCTCTTCCATTCACATTTCCTCGTACTCTACTAACTTATCGCCCTACTTATTACTCATTAATTGTTACCCCTCCCTTATGCTTTAATATTCTCTTTGGTGTTCTCAGCCACTCTCTCTTGTTTCTTTTCTTTTCTGTTTCAGCTTCTCGAGCTACTATACAATCTTTCTGTCCTGTCTCCCACTCACTACGTCTTCCACCTTTCTCTTTGGTGTTCTCAGCCACTCTCTCTTGTTTCTTTTCTTTTCTGTTTCAGCTTCTCGAGCCACTATACAATCTTTTTGTCCTGTCTCCCACTCACTACGTCTTCCACCCTGATATCCCTGTCGGTTTCTTTGCAGTCCCTTGTTAAATGTTCCAGATTTCCGAATCTATCACCACACAAATCGCATCTCCTTCCTTCCTCCTCTTCCCAGTACTTGCTCCAGTTTTCTAAATTCCCGCATCTCGCTTGGGCTATTAACTTCTGGCCTCTTCCTTCTTTGCTCAAGTATTCTGGTAGTCCTATAGTTCTGATCCACCCCCGCTTGACTTAATCCGTTTCTTTTTAAGTACTCCTCTCTCTCTTTTCCGGTTCTAGTTTGTTCTTTATTTGCTTCCTTTTCCTTCAGACATTCCTTGACTGTTTTTCTCCCTACGTCCTTCCTTACTCCCTCCTCAAATTTCCAAGCTCTAATTCCTGCCTTTACTCTTAATTTCTCTCCCTTTGATTCCTCCAGCACCAAGTAGCCTGGTGCGCGGATGTCTAAACGTCCATTTTATGTATCTTACTTGTATCTTTCCTATTTCGGCTCTCTCCTTAAAACCCCATAGTTCTACCCCATACATCAGTACACCAAGTACCAGCATCTCGAATAGGTACATTCTCATCCTAAAGTCCGTCTTAAATTTCCTCTCTCCTATTCCCCATACCTGGTTCAGTGTCACGTTTGCCTTCTTTATCCTTTCCTTTATGTGTCCAGCCATGTTACGAAATATAATTGAATTTAAGTGAACATAAGTGAATATTTGAATAAGTTAAGTGAATAAGTGAATAAGATATAAGTGAATTTTACGAAATATTTTTGGCAAACTATTTTATAATTTTAGTGGCACCCAAGGAACCGGAAAAACCGAAAGAACCCGAACCACCGCAAGACCCGAAAGATTGCAAGATCGTGGCTGGAAGAGACACGGCGATAGAATTCCAGAAGGACAAGGACAAGGGTATTGGATTCACTATAGCTGGTGGCTCCGATACACCACTGGTAAAATCCAACTTTCTTTTTTAAGTAAACATGGACAAATTAGCTATTAATTAGCTATTAATTAATGAAAAATACTTACTACGAATAATTGTAAAAGAATTTGCTCTGTTTGCGAGCTTTAAAGGTACTATGAAACTTGTTTCAGAAAGGAGTGTTCATCGTTGAAGTGTTTCCGGACGGATCAGCCGGCAAAGATGGGCGACTGCAGGCTGGAGATCAGATACTCGAAATGTGTACTCACAAGTTTAAGGACATGGAGCACGATCAAGTTCACGCTGCTGTACTAAAAGCCTCAGGAACTGTACGCGTGCCTTTCTACTTATCTTAGGATTTTTCAAAACTTCCTTTCCATGTTTTTATGTGAAAAAATTGATAATCTTCTAATAAGTATTGCGAATAAAAATGATAAGAAAATATATCAATTTTCCATTAGAAAATACACATTAATTCAAAACGTATCTTTCTAAGACTCACTTTTTTCAATTTTTCTGTTACCTTATGGCTCTTTTTAGATCACAATGTTGGTGTTCCGACAAGAGAAAGGAGAGGAAGAGATCGAGGTTGAAATACAGAAGAAGTCAGGCAAAGGAGCTGGTCTCTGTTTGACGGGGTACAAGAGCGGCAAGGGAGCATACGTGTCAGACCTGGTAGGCTTGTTAACATAAAACAATTGTGGTAATATTTAGTCAACGGAGAAAACGTATATAACAAGTTTCTTACAGGTGAAGATTGAATGTAAAACAGGCTGTAAGTGCCAATAATAATAATTTTCTTTATTAAGACAATATTTTTACACTTCCGCATTACTTACACTACTTTATATAATCTCACAATATTTTGATTTTAATATTTCAAAATCTTATTAATTAACAAACAACAAATTTTAAGTGCAATAGCACTTACAGCCTTTTACGTCCAGTCTTCAATTACTGAACGTCATCTTAATTATTCATCTGGAATATTATACTTTTCTTTTTTATCCCTTTTATTATTCTTATCGTTGATACCGAATTCCGAGTTCGAAAATTATTTTTAAATACGATATTGAATTTTCAATTACGTAGAATATTGTTCACGTCGTTTTATTGAATTTCATGTTATTACATGAACATTTATTTGTTTAGTTGCCTGGTGGTAGCGCTCTGGAAAGCGGAAAGATCTGCAAGGGCGATCGAGTGGTAGCAGTTGGTGGCCAGGATGTTCGTGAGGCCCCGGTAGAGGACATCGCGGTCCACCTGAAGGTTTCTAATCCGGTGCAATTGAAGCTGGCTAGGTTCAAATCCTCCAAGCAATGACAGGTAATTATTTTTGTGGCGTTATTCGCATCCAAAATTTCAATCGAGATAGACGATCGAGAAAACGGTAAAAATACTTTTCAATCCTAACTCTGTATTAACAAAGACAGGTCTTTGAAATGTTGAACTAAGAACAGTTCTTTCTTGATTGATATAAGCACAGTAAAAGTAACATTTAATCCCACAGTTTCGAAAATAATATTTAACTAAAAGGAAACTAAAATATTCTATTTAAAAAGAACATGTTACAATGTAAGGAATATTCTATAAAGAGTAATAAATTTAATGGTTGTACAAGAATTTCACAATATACAGGGTTACCTAATTTGGCGACTTGAAAAGTTGCCTAAAATTTCAATGCTCTTTTAATTTCCATTAAAGAATGTAAGGTGTCCCGTTTAAAAGAATCAAGGCGATATCCAGAACTTGATGTATAAATAATTTAGAAGAAAAGAAATTATTCTAACGTATGTCTTCTTCGAAATCATAAAACTTTTGCGAGTAATTTCAAGTAGTCGAGTTAGATAAATCCTACTCTCTATAAAAGAGAAAATTATATAGAATTGTTGGAATCTTTTGCAGGGTTCTGCAGGCGGAACTCTGAAAGAAACGATTCCCACCAGACGCCATGGACTCTAGTGTGATAAAACTGACTATACCAAAGTAACTATAAATACCGTTTACTATTATAAGTACTCTAATTCTTAGAAGAACAAGAGAACAAAAGAGATCGTGTGAGCGATAATCGTCTCATCAATGCAATTTAAAACATAAAACACTTGGACTCGCGCGATCTTTTCGAACTTTTCGAGTTCGCGCCACTCGCGAAGCTAACCAGACATTTCGACGTATCACACGCGATTTTATAGCAAACACGCTGTCTCGACAACCAATCGATTCGTCTATATACATAATTACACATGTATATATCGGCGACTGTAAAGATTCCGTCTGCCACGATGAACATCCGGCGAGTAGTCGATACGAATTTTCGCGACACCCGTTATATACACTTATTAGAATTAACGACACAGAGTATTTATGCAGTTAGAGCAACATTATATTGTAATAGCCACGAGGACGTATCACGGTGAACGTTTTCTGCTCTGAAAATGGTAGAAACTCGAGAAGATGAAGGCTACTTAAACCGATAATAATATTAATGAGAAATCGTGCAGGAAAAGTAAAAAAAAAAGGAACAATCTTTCTTGAATGTATCAATCAATGTCAGATTTCTCGAATTTTTCTCCCGTTCCGAGGTTTTCTGCTTCGAAAGGGACAAATGTTCGAGAATAGAACGGAATGCAAGCTACAAACAAGCACTCAGTTTCTCGAGTGTCTTCCTTTCTTCAGACTATTCCAACCATGTCTTCATAAGAACAAAGATATCTCGCTTGTACGTTTCGTATCACTTACGTTTAAGTTAGGCGACTTTAGAGACTTTAGGGTAGCGCGATCCTTGCGCAAACGGACCGTCTGAAACGCGTCTGTCTCGCGACAAATAAAAAGAAACGCGAAAGGATGCCAAAAGAAGAACAAAGAAAAAAAAAATGAAAGGAACGGATACAAAATTCTAATTCCTCTCGAAAGATCGAGGAAAATCCCTGGTTCGAAGAGAATGGAGGATGTTGGAAGGAACAAACGCGATCGAGCCTTGTTGCGCTTTTATCTCGGACAACGTGGCAATTTTTTCGAGAAAAATCGTTCAGGAGGACGACGGGAGATTTGTTGAGAGATTAGACTGGCTGGTTGATTGCGTAATAGTTCAATTTA